ACCTTGAACTCATTTCCAGTTACAACGTCACCTATTGTCACCACCCATGATGATCATTTGAAATACGCTAAAATCAACACCTTTGATAAAATACTTTCACCAAATCCGCAATTTAGAAACATCCTTCCTTTTTTTTCATCCCTTAAACTAAGGAATAGAAAAAAAAACATTGCATTTTAGTAAATTTTTAATTTTACAAAATTTCATGATAATATTTCAAATGAATAAATAACCAATTTTGCTAAATCATGCATACAATAAAAGTTCGTGTAATAATTCGAAAAAAAATTTCATTTAAATTTAATTTTACAAAATTAAACATAATAAAATAACTATGCCATAATATATGCATACACTAAATCAAACTATCAAATTTTATATACTATTATTTCATTTAATCTAATTCCATTTTAATGATTTAACAAATTTGTCGAAAAATTAAAATTATTCGATTTTTTTTTCCTACTTCTAACATAATAACATTATGATTTCTGGCTTTATAAAAAATTTAATAGTAATATTTGCAAAATTTGTTAACAGCAAATGTTAATTTCATTTTTAAACTTCCTGTAATTCATCGAATTTAAGTTTCGGTAAAATTTGAACCATCGAACATTTATGCTTACTATAAATGTTAAAATTGTAAAATTAAAGTAAAGTAATGTAAACATAAGGTGTATAATAATAAAAATAATCAAGTAATATAATAATATAAAATGTGAAATAAAATTGTTATTGGTAAAAGTTGACTTTAGTTTATTGTAAAAAAGTATTTTAAAAAATTGCGGAATTATGAAATTTATCCTTTTATATTTGTAAATTAATTTTTTCAATATCATTTTTTTAAAATTTTTTTAAATTTTATTTTTCTTCCCCAAAAATTTACAATTAAATCCAAATGTTAAATCGTTATTCGTTCCTTTTTTGTAAGATAAATGTTTGAAAAATTTAATTTAATTTTCAAAAGATGCCATATGAAAAATTCATTTGCGAAAAAAGGAATGCAATATTTTCATTTATGACAGTTTCTTTATTTCATTGCTTTCAATTTTTTTTTTTACAATCATTTTATATTTCTTATTTTAAATTCTCAAAAAAAAAACGGAAAAAAACATTTTGAAACATATTTCAAATTAAATTCACAATTAAACAAATTATTATCTGAGAAAATTCTATTGTAATTTTCAAATTCATTAATTATAGCAAATTATTTTTTTTTTCATCGAAATATATAATTATTCGTATCTTAATTAAATTAGTAATATTTGAAAAAATAAATAAGTTAATTTTGAGAGAGGGAAATTCAAAAAAAAAAAGTGGGAAATGAATGAATTGATGAATTTGCATTAATTGATCTCACTAAAATATTTTTCATATTTATCAATTTTTCCTCCTCCCTTTTCCTTATTTGACAAAAGAATCAAATTTTTTTTTATTTTTTTTTTTTTTTAACATACATATACATATACATATATATATATATATATGTTTGATTAAAATTAGATGTCAAAATTGTAAATAACTATTTGAAATTGGAAATATATTTAACTAATTTTTTTCCGCATTCGAAATATATTTAATAAATCGATTCCAAATTTATAAATATGTTTTAATTAAACCATTCAGGATTACATATTTATTTATTTAATCCGTTCAAAATTTAAGAATTTATTGATAATATTAAACTGTTCTGTATGCAATTCAAAATATATTAAAATGTTCTATTTGAACTTTGAAATGTGTTAAACTATTTCTGTCAAAACTTGAAATATGTTTAAACATTTCGTTCAAAATTGAAAATATTCTTGATTATTTTTTTTTTAAATTAATAACATTAGGTACAGAATACAAAATATATATCAAAATCATTCCGTTCAGAATTTAAAATACATTAAACTATTTGAAAATGAAAATATTTTTTTTCCGAAATTGAAAATATATTTGGTTAATCCATTTCATCTGTTTGAAAAGAAGCAAATACATTTTTTTTAAATTTCAAATTATATTGGATCGAAAAAAGGAAGTCGGAATTTGTAATTACTTTTTAAATTCTTTTTCATTTCCTATAATTTTTATTTCAATCATTATATTTAAAACGATCAATTTCCAATCATTCAACATATTCCTATTGCATTATTCAATTTTGATGAATGAATTTCAATAAATAATTTGAATTTTTAAATTTTTCGCGAAGATATTTTCTTCAAATTTCCATTTATTTCATGCAATAAGTTGAATTCATCAAAAAACAAAGGAACGAAAAAATCAAACTTTATAGCTTTTAAAAATTTTCGCAATTTTTATCATTATTCATTTCCGGTCTTAAAAAAAAATCGTCAGTTCATTCTCATAACCTTCAACTTATTCCTTTCATCATCAATATAAATTAAAATGAAAATATCAAAAATAAAAATTATTAAATCATTTCGTGACAATTACCATCTTCTCCTATACTCATTTTGTCTTTTTTTTTTTTTTTTTTTAAATTTCGAAATGATATCATTGTCACTTCGTCCTTTTGATATCACTGTTGCATACAACAAGCAGTAATCTTATCAATACAGATCTTATCAATGGGATATGAAACGGAATTTTATTTCTCTTCTTTTTTTCTTTTATCGAATTTCACTAAATTAAAATCTACTAAAATTGTCAATTTTGCAAAAAATGATTAATTTGGAGGAAATAATACTAAAATTAAAATATATAAATCGCAACAGTCCTTTTTTGCTTTTTTTCTTTTTATAGGTTAGAAATTTTATTTACAAAATTAAAAAAAAATGTACAGATTATAAAAGTGTTTCAGTTTAAACTGTACATCTAAAGAAATGAATTAATAATATAATATAGATTGTTATCGATTATATAAACATGTAAATTATTATTGAGTACATAAAATATATGCAAATTTATATTAATTTATTAACCGGTGTATAATATCTTGTATTATTTTATATACTTATTTATTACTTATTTTATTAGTTATTTTATTTATCACTTATTTATTACTTATTTATCTTCTCGTATATTGATAAAGAACTTTTCCGTTAAATATTCTAAAGTGAAAAAATTAACTTTCTTTTATGATATGAAATAATCAATGAATATCATTAAAGAGGATAATTAATGATGCAATAAATCACATAATTAAAAATATCATTTGCATTAGATTTATTCGAAATGTTAGTTAAAATTTCCAACAATTAGATGTTATTTATTAACAAATCATAATTGAATACAACCATCGAATCATAAATAATCTTTAAAAATATGTTATTTGATAAAAGATTTACCATCAATACTATCAGTTGATTAGCATAATTGATAATAATGACAATTTTAAAGTAACTAGTGGGATCACTTTGATTTAAATTAAATTTTCAATAAATTTTACAATTTACTATGATAATAAAAATTACGAATTTTTAAAAATGAAAAAAAAGTTTTTGGAGAATCGATTTTTTCAAATATTTTCAAGCGTTAATAAAAAAGTATAACTTTCATTTTTCTTTTCTTTTTTTTTCCCCCGTTCTATTTTATTTCCTCGGATCATCGGATAAGTAATTTGAAGTGAATAAATTATTCGACGACAGAATTGAAGTAAGTAATTTGAAGTGAATAAATTATTTGACGACAGAATTGAAATATATTTATTGGTTATTTTAATGGAGAATGAAATAATTTCTACACATTTCAATTTCATTTTATATTTTGAATGAGTTTAGCCATTTCCTATTTATTAATTTATTTGCATGTTCAATTTGATCCATGCAGATGACCTTGTGTTATTCATTGCACAAAAAAAAAAAAAAAAACAAATGAAATATGGAAATTAAGTATTTAATTTATGCATAACAATTTCAACCTTGAAATGAAGCATGCAAAAAACTTTTTTATTTTTTGTGTCATTTAAAATATAATAGGAATTATGCATAAATGCGAATATTTGTGATGAAAAATCACAAATTTTCTTTTTTTGGAAGAAAGTTATTGTCTGAAAGAATAATCAATTTTGAAAAGTTTAATTAATTAACTAGCTAATGAATCCTTATTTTAACTATTCCTATATGACATTTCGTTTTATTTATTTATTTTTTTATCTATTTCTTTTCAATTTTTCCTATTTATTATTTTTTTATTTATTTGTCTTATTATTACAGTTGGATGAAAGTTTTCCTTTTTCCTTAATCATAATTTCAAAAATTAAGGAGTGTAAATTATCATTAGACAAATTTAAATTAAGTGATGGCTCACAAGTATATAACTAATTAATTAACACTTTATGATTCGATAATGATTTTTAGTAATAATGGTAATTTATAGTGATAATTTATTTTAACGTAATCGTTCTTTTTGTTGTTAAAAATAATAGCAAAAATTTCGATTTTACTATAGTTTTATGATAGGAATAACAATTATCTAACAATGATAACAAGACGGATAAAAAAAAAATGAGTAATCAATATAATAGATTAAGATGATACTGATAACTTATATGATCAAGATATACTGATCAAACTAGTTCAAGATATCAGGATATATTGATCAAACGAGATCAAAATATCAAGATATACTTATGATAACGATAAGATTCAGTAATCAGATTCCATTGGATTGTTAGACGATAGTTTCCATCCAAAGTCTTTCGTTTCGATCATCCAATAGCTCTTCGGAATTGATGTCAACTTATTTTCAGTAGGATATTTTATTTTAAATTTTTATTTTTTCTTGGCTTAGCTTATCGATACATACGAATTCTTGATCAATTCTAGTTAAAATTTTACGTTTTAATATCTTACAACATTAAAATTTGCATACAATGGTTTATAGGAATATGTGAAAAATGATAATCATCTGATTAGTATACGATATTTTGATAAGAATGTAGAAGGGAAATTTGACTCACTAACAGTGTTGAAATTATCAATTCAAATTGATAGAACTTCAAAATTCGTAATTCAAAAATTTACTTTACACTAAGAGTAATTTACTTTACAGTAATGGATTGCAGTAATCTATAAATATAATTTTTTTTACAGTAATAGTAATGATACAAAAAAAAAGAATAAAAAGAATTCCATCATAATAATACTATAATCAAAAAACTGAAATTATAAATGACTAGCAGATTTAAATTATCAACGAAAATTTATTAAATGATAAATTTTATTAATGAATTCTAATTTTTTATTTCAAAAGAAAAGAAAAAAACTTTGTTAAATTAATTTCAAAACAATTAATGAAATGAATAATTGCAATATTTTGGTAGAAATTTAAAATTCAGCTCTTTTTTTTACAAGCTAATAAAATAATTTTCTATATTTGAAATCAAAAAGAATATAAGAAATATTTGTTTATTCAATATATATGTATATATATATATATATATGTAGGTATATTTTTTTCTAATAATCATTTTATTTTTTATTTTAGAATGTTTTCCATGGCAATTCGATTGTCATTTCGGGATACCGCGGTGTATTTCACAGTTTAAAGTTAACGATGGTGCAATTGATTGCATATCTGGATTCGACGAAGGTTAAATTACTAATTATGCTTCAACTTTTTTTATAAGAAATTATAAATCCCTCAAATATGCTATGATAGTTATCATTTGTTACTCTTCATCCTACAAACTTTTTACTAAATCGGTCAATCGATTAATTAACTAATTAATCTATTTATCAAATTTAATAGTATAATTATTTATTTCAGGTTGTCCACCACATAATTTTGTTTGTGCTGATAAGAGTGCATGCATAAATTTTTCCAAATATCAAGATGGTATACCACATTGCAAGGATAAATCGGATGAACGTATATGCTTTTTCAATTTTTTTTTAGTTTTTCATTTAAAATTTCAGTATTCAATTTATTAATTAATTTTTAGCACAAATTATTATAAAATCAATTTTTTACACGTTTAAAATTGCTTCAATACTGAAATTTAAAAATGTTATTAATACGTAAATATAAATAATATAAATAAAAGAATAAATTAAATCTAACATCAATCAATAATTTCATCAAACGAAAATATAAAATTTGTTTATTAGAAATTTAAAAAAAAAAAACTGTGATTTGAAATTAAAAAAAAAGAGAAAAGTTTCATTAATCATAGTTTTTATTTTAAATTCAATTAATAGAAAAGTTTCATTAATCATAATTTTTATTTTAAATTCAATTAATTCATTTATTTGAATTATTTATTTTACTTTCTTTTTTTCAAAAATATTTTTTATAATTATCTTTTTCTTTTCCTTTTTTCTTTTTCATTTTATGATTTTTAGCATGTCCAGCTGGTGATTTTTTATGCAACGATCATTCACAATGTATTAATGGGAAATATTTCCAAGATGGTATTGCTAATTGTAAAGATGGCTCAGATGAAGGTTTTACCTTATTATAAAACTATTTCCTTTCTTCTTTCTTTCCCTTTCATCTTTTGTCCTCGTTTTTCCTCTCTCTCTTCCTTTCTTTCTTTTCCTCTTTTTTTTTCCTTATTTAAAATAAATTTTAAAAAAAAATTTCATTTCATCTTTATATTAATTTACCGATATATTAAAAGATCGGAATTCTTCTTATGGACTGATCCTTCTTCTCTTTTTTTTCCTTTTTTTCTCTTTCCCATTTAACTTTTTTTTTTTTTTATTTCTTTTGTTGTGATTTTATTGCTTTCTCATTTCTTCATCTCATCAAGGACATCAATATGATAGTAAGTATTATCCGGTTTTTTTTTTCCTTTTGGGGAGGTAAGATTGGATTGTTTATAATGGATAGAATAAAAATGACATTGAAAGACATCTAATACTACCTCCTTCCTCTATTTTTTATATTCTCTCTCTCTCTCTTCGCTTCCTTCTTCCTTTCTCTCTGTCTCTTTGCCTTTTTACTTTTTTTTTTTTAAAATCATTTCTATAAAATTTGAAACGAAATAAAAAGCTTATTGAATGATTATATAAAATGTCCTGAAAGAAAATCAAAAGAAAAGAGAAAAAAGAAAAGGTGAACGTTTCCTGTACCATTTCTTTTCGTAGTATAGATAAAATTAAAACAAATTTATTTGAAACTAATATTTGAAAGAAAAGGAATATTTAAAAAATAAAATGGGATTTTAATTAAACATTTAAAATTTAAATACTTAATTATTTCAAGAATAAAAAAGGAAAAAATCCCAAGCTTGAAAATTTTGTTCATTGTTTTTTTCCCCTTTATCAATAAGAATTCGTTTTATTTAAGTAAATAATAATATTGTTAAATAATTAAATAATGAAAAATTTTATCTCATGAATTAACAAATTATTTCTATTAGTTAAATTATTCATTTTAATATATCTTTTAAACATTAATATTTTCATCAATTTTCATTAATTTTATCGCATAATTTAATTCAATTTTGATTTAATTTGATCGAATATATTTCTTTAAATTCAAAAAAAAATGCTATTATGACAGAAATTTAAATTTATTAAAAATTTTAAATTTAATTCTTTAAATTTACAAAAAAAAGTTTATTGCTATGAAAGAAATTTCAAATTCTTAAAAATTTATTACTATTACTATTAAAATTTATTACTTTTTTATTACCTTATTACTAATTATTATTATGCAAATTTGCAAAAAATATAAACAAAAAAAAAAATGAATTAGCATATAGCAAAAATTTTCATTTTTATTTTATTTATTTATTGATTTTTTCTGGAATGTATAATTAAAAGGAAAAAATCAAAAAAAATCAAATATAGCAAAATTTTTATTTTAATTTAATTTTTTTCTAGAATGTACGGTTACCCAATTTGAATGTAGTTGTGGTTCAATACGTTGTGTAGATGGTGAAGTATTAAAAGATGGTAAAAATGATTGTGAAGATGGTTCTGATGAAACTGGTCCATTAACAGCAAAATTTTGTCCAAATGGTAATCCAATACGACAAAGTCGAGCTAAAAATCGTACCGTACTCTATTCAACATATAGCGCAATTGCACAATGTCCAGATCCATCAGTTTGTAATGATCAATTGGGTGAAATATGTATTGTATGTAATTTTATCTTAAAAAATACTAATTTACTAATTTCATTTTAATTATAATTTAAAATTTTCCTTTTAGTTAAATTTTAATCATAATTTAATTTTTTGAATTTTTTTTTGTTCCTTTTTTAGTTCCATTTTAATTATAATTCAATTTTGGTATTTTTTCCTTTTTTTTTCCTACTTTCATTTTAGCTATAATTTACATTTACAAATCTTTGCCTTACTTTCCATTTTAAAATGTAATTTAACTTTTTTTTTATGGAATTTATTTCGATTACATTTTAGTTATAATTTAATTTTAAATTTTCATCATCTTTCTATTTATACTATATGTTTTTTATCAGTCATTATCTTTTCATTAATGAAAGTATTAATTAATAATAATGATTATTGATTAATTTGGAAAGATTTTTTTTTTTGCTTAAATTGAATGAAATTTACAGATGGTTGGTGGTGCAACACATTGTGTTTGTAAGAAAGGAACCATACGACCGCATGGTTCACCACGATGTGTATTAGAACCATTACTTCAACAATATCTTAATAATATCATCGGTAATTGTACCGAAATTCAGAAGGATCTAATCGAAATTTACGGCGAAAAAATAAGCTTTTCACATGATTCATCACATTTAACCTATGCACGTAAGGAGACAGAATGTAATCCAAATTTGAAAACTTCATGTAAAGGTTAAATTTTTTGAAATTTTCAAAAAAAGAAAAAAAAAACTGAAAAATGAAATTTATTTTTGCAAAAAAAAGACAGATATGTTTTCTTGAGATTGAAATAATCAATCAATCAATCAGTCAATCGACTTAATTAATAATCCTTGTTGTTAGTAATCTTTAAATGTGGCTTAAATTATTATGGAACTTAAAATTCAAAAATGATTAACATATTAAACTTTACATTAAAAGATAAGTTAAAAATTTTTTCATATGAAAATTTAAAATTTATAAACTATTAAAATCTTTTAAATTAAAACAATTCCATCATTTCAACATTATAATAACAATATTTTCTCCCTTTTTCAAAGTCAAATTTTAATTCGTTTTAAATTCATTTTACAATTCGAATAAAAAGCTAGAATTAGAAATGAATTACTTATTATTAAGGTTATGGTGAGATATGCTTATCAGATTCATCTGGTCGTTATCGTTGTACATGTGCAAATAATGCTACTCGTATAGATGGCATTTGCTTGGGTATATTTTAAGAATTAAATTTAAATTTCAATTTCTTTTATGTAACTTAGTCGAGTATATATATGTAATGGTAGTTTTGAATGGGAGAAAATGTTTGAATTTAAATAATTAATTTTAATTTAGTAAATGAATGTGCTAGCCCAGAATTAAATGATTGTGATCCAAATGCATCATGTATGGATAGCATATTATCATATGAATGTTTCTGCAACGAAGGCTTTATTGATACATCAATTTCACCAAAAACACGGCCCGGCATTAAATGCGCAAAATGTTTTGTTTAAAATTTCATTTACTATTAATTTTAAATTATTTTATTGTTTATTTCAAAAATTCAAATGAATTTAATTAATTGTTGTCATTGTGTATTAATAATAATCCTAATTTTAACAATGCAACATTTTTCAATTCCTTATCACTTCTTATTGCAAAAGATTTGATAAAAATTTAATCATATTGGTACAAATCATATAATAGGAATTAATATAGGATTAATTAATTTAAATTTCTTACCATTTAAATAAAAGATTTTTCATTTAATCCATGTTCAATTAGTGAAATGTTAATAATTTTACTAATTGTATGAATCTATCATAGGTCAATTCATTTCCTGTTCTCTTTCATTAATTTAATTTAATCCATTTTTGAGGTCATTTAAAAGAATTAGTTCTGATTAATCAAGCATGCATACAAATTTAAAATAGATTGGATTTTATCGAACATAATTTTGACTATCATTAAATTGAATGTTGAAATGATTGGACAATGAGAAAGCAATTTTCCTGATTTCTTTTGAAATCGGAAATAAAAATATAACTTTAAAATTAAATTTCTCAATGAAAATGAAAATATTTTAATAATATTGAAATTTTTGGACTATTCCAATATGTGAAATGATATACATAGAAATGAAATTTAAAATTTAAAATTTATGAAATGTAGTGGTGGATGAATGTGCATCAAAAGAAACGAATCAATGTGATGAAAATGCGGAATGTATTGATAAGCCGATTGGTTATACATGTCGTTGTCGTAGTGGTTATTTAGATATTTCGGATGGTGGTGCAAGAAATCCGGGACGAAAATGTCATAAATGTATGCAATTGAGTACTTTTTGTTTTCAATTTAATTATTTTGGTCTAATTTTAATTTAAATCCTGTTTTATTGTTTGTGAATCAAAATGTATGCTGTTGGAAGTTTGATAGTAAATAATCATTTGTTAAAAAGTAATCAATTGAAGATGAATTATTATTATTATTATTATTATTATTATTATTATTATTATTATTATTATTATTATTATTATTATTATTATTATTATTATTATTATTATTATTATTATTATTATTATTATTATTATTATTATTATTATTATTATTATTATTATTATTATTATTATTATTATTATTATTATTATTATTATTATTATTATTA